TTCCCAACACGATCACTGAAGACAAAATGTGTGCATAAGCAAAGAGAGCAGTGAAGAGAGCAAATGGGGCCCAGTTATCAAAAGATATAGTGTCTGGGGTCTTAAAGGCTTGAAGTTAAACAAGAATCCATCTAGCAGGGACACAAATAAGCCCATAGGGAAGAAGCACACCAGCCTGTGTGATCATGAGGTGTCCACGGGATCAGGTAGCAAGTATCAAAAAATCCAAAACAAACAACTATATAGATGCGAATGAGGGGGGTTGGAGTGGAGACCCAAAACCCATCTGTAGACAATTTATACCCCCATAGAAGGGTTATAAGGAAGGGATGATTCAATCAAGGTGTAGTATAGCACTGTGGAATCACACATCAGTCCTTGGTTCCTGAATGCTTCCTCCCCCCTACTACCATGACCCAGTTCTACCTTACAGATCCAGCTAGACCTGAGAACATACATTGGTACAGATAAGAGCTCTCGACACATGGAATTCAGGACAGATAAACCCCTCAGGAACAGTAGTGGGAGTAGCCATATCATGAGGGTAGGGGAATGGCCATCACAAAATGGATATATAGCCCCCTGTTCGAAGGGTATGAATAACAGAAATGTGGTTGAAGGGAGACAATAGACAGTGTAAGATATGAAATAATAATAACAATATATAATTGATCAAGGATTCACAAGGGTGGGAGGGTGGGGGAAGGTGAGGAAAAAAGAGGAGCTTCACCAAGGGCTCAAGTAGGAAATGATGATGGCAACATATGTACAAATTTTCTTGATACAGATGGATGGAATGTTATAAGAGCTGTAAGAGCCCCCAATAAAATGATTATTTTAAAGTAGTTATCAGAGAGCGATTTATAGTAACCAAGGCACACATGAAAATAGAGGAGAAATCCAAAATCAACACCTTATTACAACATCTCCAACAACTAAAACAAGAGCAACAATATAAACCACCCAACAACAGAAGGAAAAAAAACATAAAAATTAGAGCAGACATAAATGAACTGGAACAGAAAAACAGTGGAGAAAAACCAAAAGATAAGAAGTTTGTTCTTTGAAGGAATTAACAAAATTGACCACTCACTGGCCAATATTATGCTCGATGGGGAGAAATTGAAAATATTTCCCCTGAAAATGGGAACGAGATAGTGATGCCCCTTATCACCACTCTTATTAAACATCATGCTCGAATCCTTATCTAGAACCCTCAGACAATGGGAAAAAATCAAGGGAGCACAATTGCGCAAAGAAAGAGTGAAACTCTTGCTATTTGCAGAAGATATGATTTATAGAGAGAGAACCCCAGGGACGTCATCAAAATCAAAGAACTATTAGAAACAATTGAGGTACTTGGTAAAATAGCAGTGTGTTCAGCTGGGTTCTCCAAACACACAAAACTAGAATACTTATGATTATATATAAGGATATATATGGGTAGATTTATATACCATCCAGGGATGTGAATGCCCTTGCTATCAGACAGAAAGCATTGTAAAGTTGGTTATGGCAGATGTAGTTTTGTTAAAATGTAATTATCTTATCATTTGATCCTCATTTTGACTGATTTTTAAGTTCAATTTTTAATATTTTCTTTTTCAATTGAGGTTTTGCGATAATTAGTCTAGTCATATATTTTTGTCTCCTTCCTGTTTGTTTTGAATGATTTTCTGTATATGAAATCCAGGATAGGTCAACCTATGCAGACAGTAACTGGATTAATAATTACCTAGGGAAATGTTAGGGGAGGATGGGGGGAATAGGGAGCTAAGAGCAAGTAGAAGAAAATGTTCTAAAATTGCTTGTGATGATTTTGCATCTCTTCTTAATATAATTGAATGATTACATTGTATAACATGGTTAGTAGATGCCAATAAAACTATTTCTTAAAATTAATTTAAAAAGGAATTGGTTCACTTGCAAGGGAATATACTTGTGTAATATCACCCTGTTGAGAGTGCCAGGCTACATACTCTCACAAGTCTTGGGCCTTCACTTCTGAGACTGAAATCTACATTTGGAGAAAGCAGCCTCCTGGCACCAGGTCTATTGCATTACTATAATGTAAGTTGTGTGGGAGCCACTGTTTCTTGATTGGAAATAACCCCTTGGTTAATGGCACCTCAGCTTAGGAGTCCCTGTGGATAGGCAAGAAGCCACTTATAGGCCAGTCAGGTTTTGTATCTGGCTACTCTGAAAAGTGGCCAAATCCAAAAGACCTAACCCAGTGCCATAGAGTTAATTTCTACTCATAGAAACCCTATATAGGGTTTCTTGGGTTGTAAATCGTTATGGCATCAGATAGCCTCATCTTTCTTCTATGTAGGTTTAAACCATCAACCTTGTGGTTAGCAACCCAACACTTAATGAAACAGTGCACTAGGGTTCAGGATTTCTAACTAGGTTGAGGGCCGGGAAAACCACTCTTGAGAAGCATGTGTAAGGGTGTGATGGGTGAAAGCAAAGAACCCACTTTTCATGCCTCTTTCTTTGGGTGGTGACCCCTGATGTTCCCAGATCATAAATATACGTATAAACACAACTCTGCAAATAGCCCTAAGAACATCCCTCCTGTTTATTTCCAGTAGACTTCCAAGAGCATCCCCAGGCCTTACCAGCTTATGAATGTAGCTGAAGTAAAAAGATTAGCTTAAATTTATTGGCTATTGTACCCATCCTTTCACATGTGAATTCCAACCCCCATATAAAAAGATCCCAGTTGTGTCTGAAAGTCCCCTGTTAAAAAACAATGTTTAAACATGCCCCATGGTCTTCCCTACTTATTACGGACCCCCACCTTTGCATACTTTGCTCATAAAAGTACCCATATGCTCCCAGTACAGCTGCTGTGCCCACCCTGGGAATGCTAATGAAGGTACCAAGGGTTTGCCTTCTGATCCCCCTAAATGCCCCAAGCAAGGAGGTACACACCCATGTGCCAGACATGCTCAAACATGTCTAAATCTATTTGAGCTCAAGGTACCATACATAGCTGAATACACAATGAATGCCCTGGGTCCTACAGTGGTGTGATCTGAAGGCAGACTCTGGCTGATGCCACATTCCATAGCTCAATCTGGAGTTGGGTGGCTGGTCAGGAAAAGGGATGGACTTGAATGTCTTCACAGTGACTAAGGGACAACAGGGCAGATGAGATTCTTGGTTCAATCAGGAACTGCCAGGCAAAGCTGCTCCCTGTGATGGTGCGTGCCTCCCACCAGTGAAAACCGAGATGTCAGTTTCAGCACTTCCAGGCATCTGTGATCTCCTCTTAAAACTATTCTTGAGTGGTAAGTAGGTATTTTTGTACCAGACAAACCCAAACGAGAAAGATTCTACTAAAAACATTGTCATAGATGATGAAGGGTGTGGTACTGTTCCAAGTCAAAGAGATAAGACAACTTAATGTAATACCTCACTCTAGATCAGATCCTGTAAAGGGGTGGGGGGATGTTATAAAGGAAATTATTGTTATCAACAGACAATCATACAAAAATCAATGTATGAATGGTAGATGTTAAGTTTACCAAAATTCTCAACTATCCTTTGTTGACATAATTGAATATGACTGTTTGTAGGAAATGCATACCATAGTATCGAGGCACAAAAGGTCCTGATGGTTCAAAAACAGACAAGACATATTGATGAGACTACCTCTGTAAATGAGAGAGCAAATAGGTCAAATGGTAATGTATCTGGGTAGAGAGTATTCTTTGCCCAGATAATGGATATTCTCTGTTGTTGTTCTCATTTTTTCAACTTTTCTGTAAGTTTGAAATTATTTCCAAATTATTTTATTTTAAACCCAAACATTTCTGTTCAAGTCATGAGAAATCTGGTGGTACATGCCTGACTGACCTCTCCCCTGGTGGGACAGAGGACTGATGATTTGGGTTGTGCTTTCCCAAATAAGGCTACCAGATATCCTCAGAGGTAGTTGGGAGACCCTGAATGAAGTTGTCATGTGTCATGTGAGAAGGACTCATCTCTTGACTTTCACCATTCTTCAAGATACTAAAAGTAACAACGTTGTCTTCTAAGGATCATGGGCCTTACCTGATAATAAAAATGTTATGACGGTGTTGATCCACTCACCTTTATTCAGTGAATGTTTGAAAACAACTTACTATGTGCCAGTAACTGTACTGAGAATACAGAAGGTTACAAGAGACACAGCAACTATCCTCAAGAAACCTATGAGCTAGTTGGGGATACAAGTAGGCACATTAATAAATATTCATTTCCAAATGAACTGACCACATAGATTTGGGAAGCCATGGGGAAGCCCAGCCTTTCACAGGATCAACTGGATTCAAGTCCCATGGATTCAGTCCCACATTGTTTTCCCTTAGGCTTTTCTTAGTAGGTATTTTCGCAACTGAGGCTGAGAAGGAAGAAATCACGAGTGCTTAACCCATTCTGAGCTTGTCCCATCTGTTTGGGCTTAGCTGTCTCAGACTTCTTTGCCCTCTGCTGAAATCCGGAAGAAACCAACAGTCACTCTATCAAAATATTCCTGTTCTAATGGACCAATGAGGTTTGGGAAGTCTTTCTACTGATCTGTACATACATTTACCTACACAAACGTACCAGCTAAACTCATAATGCTTTAAGATGGCAAAGACCACCAAATAATACTCCCATTTGGAATCAAGGCAACCCAATGGCTGTCAAAGTCTAATCAATAGTGTACTAAATTATGAAAACAACATATCTTCCAAACGGACAAAATAATAAGGATTTGGAGGGCAATTGTGACTTTCCCTCCATGAGTGTGGCACGGACAGAGATCCCCCGACCTAAGGGAGTCCATTACCTTAGGTCCTCAAGGCCTAATAGTGGAGTCCATTGCCTTAGGTCGCCAAGGAGACTGTTGGGGAGGGAACTGTGTGTCTGCATGTGACATAATGTGTGTGTGTCCTTTATGTCCACAGATGTCAGGTGGATTGATCATATCTCTGACGCATTCTGGTCCTAGTCAAAGAAATTTCAGATACAGATCCAACAAACGTTTACTGAGCCCTTATAAAGTTCCAAGGCTTTTACTTTGTACTTTGACACATTTCATATTGTTCAACCTTTACAGTAACCCTTTACGATAAGAATTATCATTTTACAGATGGAAAAAGAATCATAAAAAGGTTCATTGATTTTTCTCAAGTATATCATACAGATTTTTTTTAAACACTCACATACTATACTCTTAGCCTGTCTGTGTAGATAGTATTTCTTGTCTTGTCCACTTGGGAGCCCCTGATCCCCCTGTACGAGCTCTATTCCTTCTCCTTTCACCAGCCCATGTGGGCTTTTCTTTTGTTAATACTGCATTAAATAGCACAAAAATCACGAATGCAAAGAAACTGGCAAAGGTGTTTGTCAATGAGATATCCCTGCCTCCTCCACTTTTCTGCTTTCATACCTATATATGCAGTGGGCTACATTTTTATAAGCTTTTCTTTTCCCCCTCAGACTTATAACTGTTATGTGATTGGTCAGTTGAAGCTGAAACACCCATGGTGAAAGATGTTTTATGGTTACAAGGGTACACACAACCCCCACACCACCCCCCTCCCACCCCACAACCTTTTGGAGGAATATAGGATATGTACCAGTGTCAAAATTTTCCTGCCTTCCCAAACCTTGTTCCCATCCCTGCCATTTAATTTCCCTTTGACTCTTTAGACCTCTTCTCCCTCCCTACTTCTCTTCAAATCAAGACCTGTTGGACACTGGGTACTGTTCAATTCTTACTCTGTCAGGCCCACAGGCCATGGTCAAATAGGTCCTTTAAATCTCGATGCCAGTTGTACTACCGGTGCTGTTGTCTTCCATTACAGGTAAAATCTGTGTGTCACTTCAGTAGGCTTGCGTATTCATCTCTTTCACTTTTTCTGACTCGTGGTCCAGGACTTGTTTGTGATAGAAAAGTAAATACCCTTCACTGTCAAGCACATCCTTAATACTGGCCTTGGTGATAACGGCATCATCACATTTGAACCACTGGTCCTTTTGGTGCCGGATGAAGCTGGTATAGTGGCCACTCTCCAAGGTTCCTTGGTGGTTAACCACGGCAAACAAGGAATACTTATTCTCATTGTTTCCACTATTGGTTGGCAGCTGCAACTGTCCATTAATTCTGTTCTCTTTACTTGAGGCCATAAATGGTGTCATATCCAGCTCCAGAGGGAAAGAAATGTATGTAGTGATCTTGCGCCTCTGTTTGGCTGAATGTTCAAACCGCTTGAAATGAAAACAGGCAACAACAGGTAATTTATTCATTGTGAGCTGTTTGGTAGATTCCTGGTAACTTTGGCAACTACCACACTTGATTTTGGCACTGCTTCCCAAATGTTCTGGTCTTGTAAACCTTCGCAGGCAGTCCATGAGCGTGGTGATTCCTGGTATGTGGCTTTCCCCATTCACACTGCTCTCCCTCCCTGGACTCATGGGCCAGAAAGAGGTGCAAGAACCAGGCAAGTCCAAACTGATGTCCCAGCATGGATCTATTGTGGTAGAGACACCATGGCAGGCTTGACAAGTGACATCAGACTGCAGGCCACCTGTGAAGATTTGGTCTATGATGCAGTTACAGTGGTTGGGATTATTGGCTGCCTTCCCAACATCATCCCCTTTGCAATGCCTGTGCAGCACGTCTAAGGCTGCAATGAGGAACTCATGGGCATCCTGTTGCCTGTACCCTGCTAAGTGGCGTGCATGTATCCAAACCAAATGCAGCAATTTATAAGGAACATGAGGAGACGGGTTTCCAGAATACAATTCTCGAAAAAGTGAAGACATCTCACAGACCAGACACAACTCGGGGCTGGGCATTTCACACCTGTGCCTGTCAGAGAGGAAGAAATCTCTCAGGATTGGAGTATGGGTGAGTGCCTGGACAATGCAGTTCATAAAGCACGTGTTGCCAAGATTGATAAGTCCTCTTAAACCTATGGTAAAGCTTGAGGCGATCCTTCTTCTCCGTGGGTTGTGTCCCAGCAGTTCCAACTCCGGTTTGGTCGTTTCCCAGGTCAGGAATTTCTCACCGGGGCCCGGTTTTGAACACTGCTGGTGAGAAATCTCTGTTGAAGTGGAGGCTTGTAATTTCAAAGCTTCTCCTCGCTCTTCTTTGGCAATTTGCTCAATGTCTTTGTCATAAATATAGTCCTTACACATAAAGCAGTATATACCTCCATAGTACAGGTCTACGGCTAAGTTGTGTTGTTTCGTCTCAGCGTGCTCATGAATGTGTTTCTCGGTGAAACAGCCAAAGAAGACACAGGAAAGGCAAGAGTGGAGTCTGTTCAGATGGGTGCCACACACATGGCAGATGCAAGACTTTGCCTTGTTTTTCCTGGTCTCTGGGGTTCCACACCACACGAAACACTGGTAAATCAACCGCAGTTCCTGCCTCCAGTTCTCTCCCACCTTAAAACTGCTCACGTGAGAACAGCCCGGTGGACCAAAGGCAAAATCCACATCCAGGCATCCGCCCCCAGGGC